AGTAAGAAATCATTTGAGAGACAGACATGAGGGAATTATTGTGGTTTCTGTAAAGCTTATTCACACTTCTGTAAAGGTGTGTATAGTTCCTTAATCAGTAATGAATTACTTATTTTTAAAAATTGAATAAAGGTTCAGTAATTTCTGGCAGCTAAATTAATCAAACATGTAACACATAACATATCAGAGGTATTAACTAGTGACCATAATGTTGAATGTAGGGTAAGTTATGTTGTGTATTTCTGATAAGGTTTGCACATTTTATAATCAAGAAGTGCAGTTTCCACATGGGAAGTCACAAAATAATAACAAATACCCTTATTTAGTTTTGTTGAGATTCCATAATTAATTTTATAATATTATAGCAATACAATCATAATTAATTTATTGATAATTAACACTTTATTTTGTATCAATTAGGTTATGTTAGCAGAAGTGTGAAATAAAGCAACTGATTTTAAGCTTATTCATTTTCACCAATATAATCTTGCTGATCCTCAGGCTCTCCTGTCAGCCTGAGAAAATGAGTTTGGATTGGAACAGATTCATAGAGCTTCCACTTTGAAGAGGAATCACAGAAGAGTTATGGAGCAGAAGGCCATTAGGCCCATCGTGTCTGCACTAGCTTTTCAAATGACCATTATTACCTACTGTCAATCCAGCCCATGGTACATGTGCACATGAATTTTCTGTTAAAGAGATGGGAATCTTGAATGTTTGTTTTATTCCTTAACTTAGAGATGCTGAGACTAATTACCAAGCCTCCAATGCAGCCATCACTAAGATTAACTAACTCAGTACCGGCTAAGGGTCAAACCTATGTACTTCTTAGTCACTTTTGCAAAACACGAGCTCTTTGCCAACTGAGCAATTACAGCAATGGAGGCCTTTTTTGGAGCACTCTCAAAATCTTCCCGAAATCAATTTTGACTCAATTATATTGCACTTGTACCACTGAGCCTGTGCGGACACACCATTCGAAAGACTGTTAGTTGACTATTAATTACTGTTCATCGATCCTCATTATGCAACATTTGAAGCATGCATAAATCATAATGACAGTCTTTTACTTTCTGGTATATTTTGTAAAGCATCCATCATTACTGGCATAGAACCACATAGTCATAAGGCAAGTGCATGCCTTTTATATTTCATATTGGATGTTTCTTGTCATTATCAGGCATTTGATTGACGAGTAAAATCTTAAGGAAACCAAGTTTGAAACCAAAATCTAATTAGAATGAATTTGCATCCCATTTAAAATACTAGCTGGGTAAGACTATGAGAAATTCCATCCCTAACTGAAAATGAAAATAAACTCCAGAAGGCCACAGTATTCAATTTTGTTTTATTTCTTGTTTGTAAGCAATCAAATCTTCAAACTTCTTTTCAGGTCACACCAACATTGTAACAGAAGCCTGCTAGCATCTGTTTAAGTAACCAGCCAAACTCTGTTAATTCATCATCAGTCATAAAACACTTACAATCATACAAGGTAGATTGTGCCCCCGTCAGTGAAAGCTTTGATTGTTCATTAATGCTGCAGATAAATGCAACACATTTATGATCTTCTTGACAAAATAATTGATAAAATCCAGGCTGACGCTGGGTTGTCTTCAACCATAGAAGTTTGTAATTATAGTTTGCAGCTAATTCTTGGCTATTGTAAATTGTTATGTTGCAACACACTTTCAGTTCCAGCTCCTAAGGTAACTTATATCTTCCGACAAATTTTCAGTTTCTGTTCTGGCTTTACATGAACAGCTGCAGCTAATGGTTGAAGATGAAAATAATAACAGTATTACCAATAGGAGCCATAAGCAACCAGAATACAGATTCTGGTTCAGAAAGTTAGGCTGCAGGATTTAAATTGCAGTCTCAATTTTTGGCACACTACTGATCATCACATCATCTCTGTTATGGATGGGAGACCCTGATTTTTAAAGAGACCTCTAGTTCTACATTCTCTCATGAGGAAATATTCTCTCCACATCAAACCTTTCAAGACCCTTCAGGAGTTTATATGTTTAAATCTAGTTCCCTGTTGTTCCTGTGAACTCCAGACCACATGCCTCTACTTCAAGTATCTTCAAGCCTAGTTTGTCCAACATAGTATCATGAGATAACCCATCTATTCCAGCTTTCTAGTTAACTTTCTGTCAACTGCTTCCAATGCATTTACAACTTCCCTTAATGAGGTGACCAGTATAATTGAAACATAATCTTTTATTTTTAATTCCCCTTGTGATAAGTGATAATATTCTATTATCTTTCCTAATTACTTGCTGCACCTGCATAGTATGTGTTTTTGTGATTTATTCATGAGGATGCCCAAATTAATTTGCATCTCAGAGGTCTGAAATCTCTTAACATTTAGATAATATGCTTTTTAAATTTTCCTCAATAATTGAACGATTTCATATCTTTCCACAACGTATTCCATCTTAGTCCACTGACCGAACCTTTCAGTATGTTTTTGTAACATAGTTGCCCTACCCTCCTTAATTGCCCTTGAGAACGTGATGTCGAGCTGCATTCATGAACCACTGTGGTCCGTTTGGTCTGGGTATACTCATAAAGCTGTAAGGGACGGAGTTCCAGAATTTGGCCCATAGTGAAGGAAAAACAAAACATTTCCAGCTCAGAAAGGTGAATGGCTTACATGGGGAATTTGCCGGTGGTATTCCTGTGTATCTGCTGCCCTTGTCCTTCTACCTAGTGGTAGTCATAGGCTTGGAAGATATTGTCTAAGGAGCCTTGATGAGTTTCTGCACTGCATCTTCTAGATGGTACACACTGCTGCTACTGAGTGTCAGTGCAGAAGAACTTAGTATTGTGAATATGGTGTCAATCAAGCAGGCTGCTTTGTTCTGAATGGTGTCAAGCTTCCTGAGTTTTTTTGGAGTTTCACTTGGCCAAGCAAGCAGGGATTATTCCATCACACTTGTGCTTTGTAATTGAAGACTGGCTTTGGGGAATCAGGAGTTGAGTAACTCACTACATTCTCCCTAACCTTATATGGCCAGTTCAGTTCAGTTTCTGGTCAAGGATAACCCCCAGGATGTTGTAGTGGGGGGATTCAACCATGGTGATGTCAGTGAATGTAAAAGGTGATAGTTAGATTCACTCTTGTTGGAAGTAGGCTTCACCTTATACTTATAAGACCATAAGACATAGGAGCAGAAATTAGGCCATTCGACCCATCGAGTCTGTTCCACCATTCAATCATGACTGATAAGTTCCTCAACCCCATTCTCCTGCTTTCTCCCTGTAACCCTTGATCCCCTTGATGATCAAGAACCTATCTATCTCAGTTTTAAATGTACTCAATGATCTGGCCTCCACAGCCTTCTGTGGCAGTGAATTCCATAGATTCACCGCTCTCTGGCTGAAGAAGTTTCGCCTTATCTCCGTTTTAAAAGGTCTTCCCTTTACTTTAAGGCTGTGCCTTCAGGTCCTATTCTCTCCTACCAATGGAAGCATCTTCCTAACACCCACTTTGTCCAGGCCATTCAGTATTCTGAAAGCTTCAATTAGACCCCCCCTTCTAAACTCCAATGAGTATAGTCCCAGAGTCCTCAAACATTCCTCATATGTTAAGATTTCCATTCCTGGGACCATTCTCGTGAACCTCCTCTGAGACCGCTCCAGGGCCGGTACATCTTTCCTGAGATATGGGGCCCAAAACTGCACACAATACTCCAAATGTGGACTGACCAGAGCCTTATAAAGCCTCAGTAGTACATCCCTGCTTTTTTATTCAAGTCCTCTCAAAATAAATGCCAACATTGCATTTGCCTTCCTGACTACTGATTCAACCTGCAAGTTTACCACGAGAGAATCCTGGACTACAACTCCCAAGTCTCTTTGCACTTCAGAATTCTGAATTTTCTCCCCATTTAGAAAACAGTCCAAGCTTTTATTCTTCTTACCAAAGTGCATGACCTCACACTTTCCCACATTGTACTCCATCTGCCACTTCTCTGCCCACTCTCCTAACCTGTCCAATTCCTTCTGCAGCCTCCCCACCTCCTCACTACTACCTGTCCCTCCACCTATCTTTGTATCGTCTGCAAACGTAGCCAGAATGCCCACAGTTCCTTCATCTAGATCATTAATGTACAAAGTGAAAAGTTGTGGTCCCAGCAGTGACCCTTGCGAAACATCACTTGTCACCGGCTGCTATCCTGAGAAAGACCCCTTTATCCCCACTGTCTGATTTCTGCCAGACAGTCAATCTTCTATCCATACTAGCACCTTGCCTCATGAGGCATGAATGTTAATTGCCACTTGTCAGCCCAATTTGGATGGATACTGCCGAGGTCTTACTGTCTTCGGACATGGGTTTCTTCAGTATCTGCGGAGTTAGAAACAGTACTGAACATTGTGCAATCATCAGCAAACATCCCCATTTCTGACCTTATGATGAAGTGAAGGTCATTGATGAAGCAGTTGAAGATGGTTGGGTCTAAGATATTACTCTGCCTTACTTCCTGCTTACCTCCTTCTACTTGCCTGATAAGTTGAGGATATATACAAGCTCTTCGACGTAAAAAGCAAAAATGCTGTATCTGTAAGACATTAAATTTTTACAACATATGCTTTTCCTTGTACTCGAGTGTTGTCTAAAACTTTCTCTTGACTTTTAGTTCAATCCCTCCTGGACCATGTCATTGAATTCCAGTCGGTTGCAGGCAGTGCAGTTTATTTGATAAAACTATCCAGTGTAAGTTTAAAGTTATTAATATGACCATTGACAGAAAAATCTTGCACTCATCAGAAATACAACATAAGAAAGAGACAAAAGGACATCTCTATGCCACAAGAGCTCTTCAATGACTAGTATATTACATATTAAGGCATTAGATGTTTCACTCATATGGATCTCTTCCATCATTCTAATGAGATATGCTACTCCCAGACATTAACCAATTCAATCCATTATACTACAGTATGTAAGTATGTGTGGCTGATTTTGTCTACTCTTCATCTCTCCTTAGCTCCGGAGCTTTTTCAGACATTTTTGGAAGGAGGCCCTGGCTATTCATATCCAGTAGACTGGTGGTCACTAGGCATTACGTCTTATGAACTTTTGCGGGGCTGGGTAAGATGTACTATCTGAATCTTATTATTGCCATGCAAGATGTCAGATTCTCTCTCCTGTTGACAACCAATACTGCAAGGGGCTAACAATATAAAGGGATTGAATTCTAAACTAAAAGCTGTAGCATGAACATGTTACATTATGCATTTCATTTTGTCACAACCATTGTAGATCAAATTTTATGTATTAAACATGAATATATGCATAAGACTCTCCATTGCAACAATCTCTAGGATAAAATTGTGTGTGATATGGTATGTAATTAACTAAAATTACTATCTAAACCGTATGGTGGACAGCTTGTATTGAATAGTCTCACAAACATGATAACAGCACAACCAGGAATATCTCCAGCGTTTAGTTTCAATACAGGAGGCTAGGGGAAGATTGTTTGCCTGATAAACGAGCCATCACCATTCTCATTTGAAAGCAATATTCTGAAGTTATTAAGATAACTGTGTTACTTGTATTTAGAACTGATACGAAGTACAAATGTTACAACTAAATGTTGGGCTGGATTTTCAAGCAGTTGAGGATACGTCAAGATGGACATTGCAAGACTCCTGACTACATTTCTGGCACCCCAATTTTCACCAGTGTGGATCAGGAATGAAGGATGGTTTGAGCCATGAGCCCATTCCCGGCACTCCCAACCTGGCCAACTCCTCTTAGGCATCTTCTAGATCCTGCAATTGTATGGAGTTAGGCAGGCTTTTACCAATCTCACAGTTCATGGTGCCTCAAAGTGCCATGACTCACAGTCAGGAGGTATGAACCTTTTGTAAAGTTGTTCAAAAGGTCTTACTCTTGTCCCTTAGAGTGAGGGTACCCATGTGTTGAAGAACGGGAGGCCCTCAACTCAGAAATTTAGATGGAGCAATCTGGTTTTCTTTTTAAATCACAGTGAATTTATAAATAAAAAAAATGTGATTTTGGTATTGTTATCTACACCACAACAAAGCAGGAAAATTTCAACCTGGCCAATTATGCCGCATCAATTCACTCTCAATCATCAGCAAAGTGATAGAAGATGCCACTGACAGTGCAATCAAGGAGCACTTACTAAAAATTAGCCTGCTCAGCCAAGCTCAGTTTGGATCATTCCAGGCCCATTCAGCTCCAGACCTCATTTCGGCCTTGATCCGTATTTGAACAGAAGAGCTGAACTCCAAAGGTGGAGGAGGACTGACTGTCATTGACATCAATGCAGCATTTGACAGAACCTGGCATCAAGGAACTCCAGCAAAACTAGTGTCAATGGGAATCAGGGGGAAATTCTCTGCTGGCTAGAGTCAATACCAAACATAAGGGAGTTGCCTATAATTCTTGTGTATGAAATGATTGACCACCAAGATATGGCTGTAAGAGATCCTAAGGGAGATGTCCTAGAACCAACCATCTTCAGCTGCTTCATCATTGACCTTCCCTCCACAATAAGGTCAGAATTTGTAATTTGCTGACAATTATATCATGTTCAGGAATACTCTGATACTGAAGCAGCCCATGCCCAAATGCTGCAAGATGTGGACAACATTCAGGCTTGGACTAAAAAATGGCAAGTAATATTTGCACCACAAAAGAGCCAATAAGAGATTGTCTAACCATTTTTTCTTGATGTTCAACTACATTACCATCACTGAATTGCCCACCATCAACATCCTGGGGATTCTCATTGATCAGAAACTGAACTGGATCGACTATTTACAGTGGCTACAAAGCAGGGCAGAGATTGGGAATTCTGTAACAAGTAATCCACCTTCTGACTGCCCAAATTCTGTTCACCACTGCAAGGGATTAAGTCAGAACTTGATAGAGCACATGCGTGAGTATAACTCCAACAACACTTAAGAAACTTGACACCATCCAAGACATAGCATCCTGTCTCTCAGTATCTCAGCTCTCACCTGAGAGATTCAATCTGTCCACTAGTGTTGCACAGTAGCTGTTAATATGTGCCATCTACAAAACTAACTGCAGTGATTCACCAAGGTTCGTTCAACAGAACCTTGCAACACCAGACTACTAAAACCCCAAACCTCAACTACTAAGAAAGACAAGGGCAGCAAGCATATGGGAACATCAATCCCTGCATCAGAGTCTCCAAATCACTCACCATTCTGACCAGGAAATATATTGTCATTCCCTTACTGTCATTGGGTCGAAATTGTGGAACTAACCACACTGTGAGCATACTGCATTGACCGCATGTTTTGAGAACGTGGCTGACCATCACTTTTGCAAGACTAATGCAGATGCCACTGCCTTGTCAGCAATGCTAAAATCCACCGAAATGCTACATCTATTAATGATCCAAACTATTTTGACACCTTCATTACATTCAAAATCTGACATTAATATATTTTCTATAATATTTTTTGTAATATTTTAAAATCTTGCTTTAAAAACGTGCTTCCGTGACATATTCAGTCACAGCTACAGTATACTTTTGCATATCCTGCTACGAATTTAATGACAAACCGATTTTATGCATTCTGAAACTGATGTGGACAACTCACACTTCCATTATTATAAACAACTGTGGCTCACTTCACAGGAGTCACAATCTATTACCAGCAAGTTGATTTTAACTTCCATTCTTCATTAATGCCAGTGTAACTGGAGAGATACTTTTTAATTACTGTGAATAAAATATATTAAAAGCACGTTGTATACAGCAGAAATAATTTATTAATCTATGTTTTAGTCAGGAAAGGACACAGCTTGCATAAAAAGTTCAAAGTAATGAAAAGCAACAGCTGTGATAGGTTCAATTCACAAAAGAATCATCATTCAACACTACATCTCATCAACTAGAACGTGCCCTAGCAGTTCCAGTTCTCATTACATTCCCTCCAGGGAAATAAAATAAATATCTCTATCACAATAGTAAGTATTTTGCTCCAGACATGGCTCATCTTTGAACACAGTAGCCCTTAATATCATTGTAAATAAACATTCTAAGGTAAGCAAATAGCTTTTAAGATTTAATAAATCAAAATGCTTCATCGCTAGTTTTTGTTTCCTTATTTTCTAATTTTCACTTCCAGAAGGCATTGGTTCTTTGTTGGGTTCCACTTATAAGCGGCATTGTTCATCATGTAACCCAACTACTGTCCATTTATTATCATTTGTAGTAATTAATGGCAGCCTCTTGGATTCCATGAGTCCAATCCTCACCCAACTTTTGTATTAGCACACTTTTAGCATAAAGACCCCTGCCTGATTGTCCAATATGGGAAACAGTGAAAATTGGTAATTCCTACCTAGAATCACAGAATTGTTCTATTGCAGAAATCTATTGTGTCTGCACTCGATCTCTGAGCATTTTAACTCAGTACCAGTCTCCTGACTTGTTCCCGTAATGGTGCTTATTGTCTTCATTTCAATAATCATTCAGTGTCTTCTTACGTGCCTTAATCGAACCTGCCTCCACCACACTTCCAAGCAGTGCCCCCCATATCCTATCTACTCGCTGTGTGAAAAAGTTTTTTTTTCTTACCTGTTTCTCAGTTCTTGATACAGGTACGTTTACAAATGAAAACAATTTCTCCTCATCCATTTTGTCCAGACCCCTCATGATATTGAAGACATCTATCAAATCTGCTCTTAGCCTTCTACATTCCAAGGAAAATAGTCTAGTTTCTTCATTCATTCCTCATAACTGAAATAACTCATCCCAGTACCATTCTCATGAGCCATTCTCATAACCCTAACATTAGCCCAAAATATACTCTGTGTTTCCTACCACTCAGCTAAACTAATATCGATATTGCTATTATCCCTTTTCTTCCCATGACATATAACTTTCCTCACAAGTCTGTCATGTGGCACTGCATCAAATCTCTTTTAGAAATCCAAGAACACCACATCAACAGCCTTGTACTCATCAAACCTTCTTGTTACCTCTTCAAAATAATACCAGCAGGTTAGTTAGACATTTTTCCTTAAGTCCCATGCTGACTTTTCCAAATCAATCCATAATTTCTCACATGACAATTAATTCTACCCCAGATAGCTGTTTCTAGTAGCTTGCTCATCACTGAAATTAATTGACTGGTCAATAATTGCTCAACCAATCTTTACAATGTTTTTTAAACAATAGCATAATATTTGTGATTCTTCAGTCCTCCAGCACCACTCTGAAACTAGAGAAGTTTGAAACATAATTGTCAAACACTTTCCAATTTCCACTCTCACATCCTTCAATATCCTTGATTGCATTTCATCTGATCCCAATGTCTTATCAATGCTAAATTCCAAGAGCTTATCCAATACTTTCTCCCTATCAATTTGAGTTTTCACCTCTGTCATCACGGCCTGGGCAGCATCTGCCTTGCAGCTAATGACAGGTACAAAGTATTCATTTAATTACCTCAAATGGGTCACTTGTCTCGAAGTGTGAATCCCCTTTTGTGGTCCTTAATCAGCCCGACTCCTCTTTGACCACTATTTTAATATTAATGTTCTTATAGAAGACTTTGGAGTTTCCTTTTATGTTAGCTGTCAGTTTTCTTTCTATAATCTCTCTTTGCTTCTCATATTTGTTCTCTCACCTCTCTTTTGAGCCTCTGAATTCAGATTGGTTCTCAGCTGTATTTTCTACCTGCCTCCTGCTATAAGCATACCTTTTCTTCTTTAATTTCATTTCTATCTCCCTTGTCATCCCCATTGAAGTGATTATTCTTACGTTGGATTGACCAAAGTCATTTTCTGTCTTCATTCTGTACATAATGTTATAAGGATCACTACCCTTTAGATGTTTCCCATATTATGTGATCTTCTCGGGCTGCCTCATTTCCAAGAATTAGGTGTAACAGTTGCTTCTTGCTTGTTGGACTGGAGACATTCTGCTCTCAGAAATACAGTTGAACACATTCTAGGAATACTTGCCCATCGCTGTCCCCTACATTACTACTATCCCAGTCAATATACATGTAATTGAAGACCCCATCGTAACTACTCTATGATGTTTACATGTCTCTGCAATTGCCTTGTAGATTTGTCCCTCTATGTACTTGCCACTCACTGCTGGTTTACATATTACACTGAGCAATATATCTGTGTGGTTCAACTGAGTAAACTTGTTGGAATCATTTTCATTTGTAAAGTATCATAAAATGGGTGATCATGGAGATACAGCTGAATTTACATCTCTCCCAAATTTGGCTAATTTTGAACCTGCCGAGAGAGTCCATCAATAATGATAATGATTGGTGAGACAAAGCAACATGAAAGAGCTGATACAGTGTGGAGCTGGAGGAGCACAGCAGGCCAGGCAGCATCAGAGGAACAGGCAAGTTGACGTTTCGGCTCGGGACCCTTCTTCAGAAAGTTCATTTTCTTCTAATGAACTTCTAGTTCATTTTCTGAAGAAGGGTCCTGACCCGAAATGTCAACTTTCTTGCTCCTCTGATGCTGCCTGGCCTGCTGTGCACCTCCAGCTCCACACTGTGTTATCTCTGACTCCATCATCAGCAGTTCTTACTATCCCAACATGAAAGATCTGTATTTTTTTCTTTTTTTTAATCTCTAATAGGTTGTAGACAGTGCAGAGAAAGCCAGCATATGTTGCCCATCCCTAATCACTCCTGAATTAAGTAGCTTGTGAGGCCATTTCAGAGGGCAGTCAAGAGTCAACCAAATAGACATGTGTCTGTCGTCTCATGTAGACTAGGCCAGACAAGGATGGTAATTTCCATTCTCTAAAGGGCTTTGCTGGACCAGATGGCTTTCTGTGACAATCCATGATGTTTTCATGGTCACCACCATTAACACTAGCTCTGTATTCCTAAACTATCACTTATCTTCAAATTTTGTCACCTGCCACAGTAGGATTTCAACTTGTGTTCCCAAGGCTTTGCCTGGGATTTTGGAATTGCTAATCCGGTGAAATTACCACTACATATCTGTTCCCCCTAAAGTGAGATCTGCAAATGAAAATAGATTGATTGAGACCGCCCCTGCATTGTAAAATGAGCTATAGATCTGTTACTTATTAGCGCACATGGAAGAGAAAGGGTCATAGCATGGAAACAGACCCTTCAGTCCAACTTATCCATGCGACCAGCTATCCCAAATTAATCTAGTCCCATTTTTCAGCGTTTGGCTCATATCCCTCTAAACCCTTACTATTCATGTACGCACCTAAATGGCTTTTAAATGTTGTAATTGTACCAGCCTCTACTACTTCATCTGGCAGCTCATTCCATATACACGCCACCCTCTGCGTGAAAAAGTTGCTCCTTAAGTCCCTTTCAAATCTTTCCCCTCTTACTTTAAATGTATGCCCTCTAATTTTGAACTACCCTACCCTGGGGAAAAGACCTAGGCTGTTCACCCTATCCATGCCCCTCATGATTTTATAACCTTTTATAAGGTCACGCCTCAGTCTCTGACTCTCCAGGGAAAGTAGCCCCAGCCTATTCAACCCCTCCCTATAGCTCAAACCCTCCAACCCTGGCAACACCCTTGCAAATCTTTTCTGCACCCTCTCAAGTTTCACAACATCTTTCCTAGAGCAGGGAGAACAGAACTGCATGCATATGCATTCCATATGTGGCCTAACCAAAGTCCTGTACAGCCTCAGCATGACCTCCCAACTCCTGTACTCAATGCACTGACCTATAAAGACAAGCATACCAAATGCCTTCTTCACTATCCTGTCTACCTCCTACTCCACTTTCAAGGAACTATGAACCTACACTCTAAGGTCTATTTGTTTGGCATCACTCCCCAGGACCTTACCATTAAGTGTATACATCCTGCCCTGATTTGCCTTTCCAACATGCAACACCTCACACTTGTCAAAAGTACAAAAAATAAATGAGTGGTATAATGAAAATTTTGCTGCATGTTTTGCCGAGACTCTTGTATTAAGTAACTCAGATTTGAGGCTTGTCATCGCTGCATGCTCATGCTTTTGAAAGTTCTGTAGGAGGATGGGGAAATTGCTTGTAAAAGGCTAAGCGGCACGAGAGATTCTCTAGCTGAGCTGCTGGCATTTAAATAACTAAAGGAACCAAGGGAGATATCTGGGGGAATAATACTGTTGAAAATCCCTTAAGGAGTTGAATTCAGCAAGATGAGGATAGGAATGAAACTGCTAAGGCATCAATGAGACAGAACCAGAAGTGTGGAGTTAAGTGGAAATGAATCAATGATAAGAACTGAGGGAGGCAGAATTTACAGAGTAAAGTGCAAGGTCATTTTTCAAGAAAGAAGATGAATTCAATAGGAAAAGTAATTAAGAATGTGAAGTATAAGGCTAGAAATGCAAAGGAAGAATCAAGTGAGAAACCAAGCAGAACCACGATAATTTGGATTGGAATGTAATAAATCTGCAATTAAAATGCCGAGACTAATATTTGTGTTGCCCAAAGCTCAATGGGCCTGAGTTAACTTTGGGGATTCTGTACTCAGCTGAACAACACCAGAACTTTGTAATCCATACCCATATATTAAATACTCCTGTACTTATCATAACGAGGCAGTGGGTGGGAGCATTGTTTCTATTATAATGTTAGAGAAAGTTTCATACTCAATTTTGAAAGTTTGGGAGTTCACTGGAAGTATTCTGTATTGGCACTCGCTCAGCCAAGTGATGAGCAGAATAAGAATAATTAATCCCTTCCCTGTTGAACTCCCTTTAGTAATGTTTGAATTGTTGTGGCAGACACGCAATACCAGCGAATTGAAGGTACCAATGTCCCACATGGCCTGTCCCTGTCAAAACTACTTTTACTTTATTTCAACAGAGCAGTTTGGAGCTGTTCTTCTCTCATACAAAGGGGGATATCACTCACTGAATAAATTTCAAATGTGCTTACCAAGCAGGTAATTACAGGGGAAAAAATCAACTTACATTGTTTATAAAGAGTGGTACAACAAGAACAACAGCTGAATTTATATAGAATCTTTAGCGCTGAAAAAATTCTCACATTTCATAAAAGTGTCATCAGACAGAAACTGACACAAAGCCCTTATTGGCAGAGGTGACTAAAGGGCTGGCTGAAGAGTTTAATTTTACGAAGGTCTAAAGAGTGGAGAGACAGCATAAAGAAGCAGAGTGGAACAAGGCAGAATTCTAGAGTTTTGGACCAAGGTGGCTAAAATGGTTTGTGTTACAATGAAGCTTGTGTCTTAAGGATCTATTCTGCACATCGAAGATATGGCCTTTTCTCTGCTGGTATTTTGATCCCTATGATGGGTTCTCCTTACCAATAAGTGGCTGTTGTCTGTCTTTAGTAGGCTTTTCAAACTCTTTTATTTACACCACTATACATGATACTATTCTCTATAAATAATTCGCACACTAGTGCAGACTAACACATCACCATCTCATTGTCATATCCATTCTCACTATACGACATGAAAAGTACAGCACCCAATAATGAAACATAAGGAGAGATAGATCAATAGAGATCAGAGTTGGGGGAATACTGAGATCTTAGAACATTACTGTCTTGGAGAAAGTTTCAGAGCTATTGAAGACAGTGTTTTGAATGGATTTGAAATTATAAATTGAAAGCTTTTGTAGCACTGGGGTTAATGTAGTTAGGTAATAGTTGAGCAGGGATAATCCATTCTTTCATTGGTAATATTTGAACTTTTTTTAGGGCATAAATAAGCCTTCAATTTTATGCGGAGATGGTTATCAACAAACAAAATTTAGTTCAAGCCAAATGTAAAACATTTTTAAAGCAAAATTCTTCTCTGTTCTTTATCAAATGAGAAAAGGAGTATTTTGATGTTGAAAATTTTAGTTCAAAAACATGCTTGAAAGTCTCAAAACCACATTGATTTTCAGTATGGTACAATGACATAATGGCAGAATTTCTAATAAAGTTATGTACAGGATTTTTACACTGTTTCTTAGGAAATGTTGAATAAAAGTAGAAAGTACTGAAAATGTGAGAGAAATAACAGATTTCATGTTTCAGATGTGTAACCCTTCATCAGAACGAAATATGTGATAGCATTTTTAACTTGCCATAATTAGCAAATTTACGTTTTTTTTAACCTCTGAACCTTGCCATTCACCAACTTTGATCATGATTATTCATACTTTATTACATTTCGTTACTGATAGGAAGTAAAAGGACTTTATCAGTAAAGGTCCTTGACACTTACTGCCCATTTAAAAGAGTACACCAAGTAAATGTTAAGCAATTCTGTTGTATTTTATCTCACAGAGACCATATGACATTCATTCCAATACGCCAGTGGAAGAAATACTCCACATGATTAATACTGAGAAAGTGCACTGCTCCTCGACGTGGTCCAAAGGCTTGGTGACATTAGTAAAAAAGGTAAAGAATAGAAAGAAAAGGTCATGACATACACTTTTACAACTGGCACAGAGATATTTTTAGCTAGAAAAAAAATCAATACTAACACGCTTCACTGCTGTAAAAGATGATTTTTTTTAATCTCTATGTGTGAAAGCTCTCTGTGTTTCAAAACATCATGGAATTTCAATGCACTTTATCCAGCCAGAAGAGGGTGAGAAACCCTTTAAAATGGAGCATTCAGTCTTACCACTTTGGTCCTGTTGGAATTCTTCCGGTCACTATTTGACGTGCACAATGCAGTTCTTTGATTGAGGCTCCCAGTTTAAAGAGGCAGATGTGTACAAGAGTCTGCCAACTGAGGTCTCATCGTTGATCCCCAGTTGGATTTTAGCTGAGATGAAGCAGCTGTCCAGTGGGAGACAGAGTCTTTCATTCAGGGGGTCAGTGGAATCTAGAATGTTTCTCCAGGCCTCAGAAAGGAAGCTTGCATCCTCCTGTGACTCACATTCAGCCCGTTAGCTGCAAGAAGTTCTTCTAAAATGCTTCCTCACCAACTTATCTCCTTCCCAGCAAACCATTGAGAAGATTTGCTTGTAATTGGGACATATGAATGGCTTTTGCTTCCCTTATCTTCTCTTCCCCACTGCCCACCTCAATTACTATGCCCATCAGAAGCTCATAGGAAGGTAAAATAGATGCTAATGGTTTTAGTTTGGTAATTTTGTGAAGAGATAAGTGCTGGTCTGATTTGATAGTCTAGTTAAAGTGTATGCTCCTAGCATTTCTCATGATTATGTTAGGTTGGGGAACCAGAAAAAGGAAACAAGGGATCAGTTTATTATCAGCACCTGGATTCCAGTAAATGTTTAGAGGTGTACCGTTTTTGTATTTGTTTGGTGTTTGTACTTTTGTTCCTTAGAATATAAGGGAAGCTACACATCTTGGAAATTTTCTTCATGACCACCTGCCTCCTGAAACTAAATTGAAAGTCCATTTCTCCAGACAATTCAGTCCTTACATCAAATGAATTACTGTGGACAACTGCGAAATAACTTAATTATTTTTCAAAATCATTTTCCTTTCTGAAAATTAGTATGAAACAATTAAAGATTCAGTTTTTTAAAAGAATTCATGAGATTAACAATCATGACCTATTTTAATTCATTATGGGAAGTTGATGGTTAAGCTTTCTCTGTTTAATACAAATATGCAACTTTCAAGTTGTAAGATTATTTTTGTTCAAGCAATTTTCATTGAATGAACAATGCAAATCAAATGAAATAAGTTTCTTTAACTTAATAATCAGCAAAGATTACAATACAGCATCCATACATCTGATAGTACTGCTATGCAACAGTCCTAAATTGCACATAGGACTGCAGCACAATGGCTCACTGGTCAGCACTGCACCCTCACAGCGCCAGGGATCTGGGTTTGATTCCAGCTTCGGGTGACTGCCTGTATAGAGTTTCCAAATTCTCCCTGAGACTGCGTCGGTTTCCTCTGAGTGCTCTGGTTTCCTCCCAGTCCTAAGATGTGCAGGTTAGGTAGATTGGCCATGCTAAATTGCCCATAGTGTCCAGGGATGTACAGGCCAGGTGGATTAGTCATGCAGAATGCAGGGATAGGGTAAGGGGGTGGGTCTGGGTGGGATACTCTTTGGTGGGCAGTGTGGACTCGATGGGTCAAACAGCCTGCTTCCACACTGTAGGGATTCTATTCTATGATCTACCCAATTACTTTAATCTCAAGCAACCATAAGCAAAAGCCTCATGCATATGTACACCAGTGAGTTGTAATTTAACAATGATTCAATATGACAGTTTCACTGACAATGAGCCAAATTAACCTCCTGATTACAGGAGTGAATGTTTTCTTCAATAATGTCTTTTACATCTTTGTTTTTACCAGGACTTGGCCCAGACATCAAACATTTATAATGTCACGACCTTATTGTCCCATGAAGGATTATCTTAATAGGTCCAATAGTATGTCAAGTTCTTTGCCTGAAACCATGGACGAAAGCCCTCAGTCAAGTTCATTTCCCAATCTTTAAAAGAAATGGTTGACTGTTTGTTTTTCTGAAGTCCTAACATCCACCTTGTATCATCTGTGAATGTTTTGTACCAGTTACAGTCTCATTCATCCCAAGGTCTTCCTTATTTGCCAAAAATGACTTGCAACATTTAGCAGTAGAGTTAACTTTGAAAGGATCTTTTGGTCTTGCAAAGCATGCTGATTCAAATTAATTTTTGAGATTTATCAAGTTATATCAAACATATACTTTTAAATAGAAGCCAACAAAACTGGCCTGGCATGCAATTCTGATTGTATATAGGCTAGGCTGAGTTAGGGTAAATTGGTCACAAAGGACAAAATGTTACATCTCCTCCCTGATCACCAAATTAACAGGAACTGGTTAGAAAATCCTGCTATCTCCAGTCCACAATGATAAACAGTATATCCTTTCATGCAGAACTTGATACAAACAGAGGAAAATCAACTACCACCTTGTCCCACTCAGAAAATGCAGATGCAATAACATTAGGCTGACCCTTGGGACAACACTGATGGTTCATAAGACCCATGTTCTCAGCATCTTGGTGTATGGCTGTGAAACATGGACAATGTACAGTTTCAAAAAAAGAAGTTGAACAATTCACAACTTTGCTGTCAGTATATCATGCGTGAATCCTGGCAGGACAAAATCATGAAGGTGGCAGTTTTCTCAAAAGCAGAGCTCCCTAGTTTGTTAGCTCTTGTCAAATAGAGACATCTTCGTTGACTAAAGCATGTATGCACAATGGAAGCTGGTCATACACAAGGATTTTATGCTTGAGCCAGATGCCCAGTGGGCTGTCTAAAGCTCATTTCAAAGCTCACATGTATGAACATGATGTCGTTAAGCAGTGATTATCATATGGAGAGACACTGGCTGGTGACAGAAATGATAACACCCCCTGTCATCTGGCATGCTCCACCATGATGACCAGCAGTTACTACTTGTTGCCAACAGACACCAATATTTTAAACGACAACCTGCCATGGCACTTAGAGATAGTAAGAACTGCCGATGCTGGAGTCAGAGATAGCACAGTGTGGAGATGGAGGAACACAGCAGGCCAGGCAGCATCAGGGGAGCAGGAAAGTTAATGTTTCGGGTCGGGACCCCCGTCAACTTTCCTACTCTTCTGATGCTGCCTGGCCTGTTGTGTCCCCCCAGCTCCACACTGTGTTATCTCTGCAATAGCAGTTGGTAGCTTCATGTGGCAGAACTTGTCCCTCAAAGATTGGCGTTTTAAGCCATCAGCCAATTTCCACCATATGAAAATACCCCGTTAGAAACAAATTGTTTGTTACGTGTCCATTATCTTTTGTAGATGGAAGAATGCCAGAGCGGACAACGTGGTTCCTACCCTACTACAAATTAGTAATAGGGTTTGGGTTTTAGCAACAATCAACTTCATGGTTACTTTTAAACTGATTATAGTGTTTATTTCTACGTTCATTTCCTTCACCCAAGTTAAAATTCTCCAATGGACAGGAACTCACATTCTTCCAAATTAGACCAATCTGCTATTCTAGCAACATTACAGGACCATACCCAATGATCATAGTTATGTAGCAAAATCTTTAATTTTGGAACTTTTCTCATTTGGATATATTTCAAAGACTTGTAACACTTTTGAGCAAAACGAAAATATTCAAGTATAATTATTTTGTTTCATAATAGCTGCTTGTGAAGGAGCCTGAATGTAGGCCATCAAATCTCAAGGACGTTCAAAATTCTCCATACCTAGCAGATGTGAACTGGGATGCGGTTCTGGGGAAGAATCTCCCTCCTGCTTTTGTTCCAAATGTGAGTTAACAATCAGAAGGAAAAACCTAATAATTTTGATTGTCGTTTCTCTCGCTGTAAGTTATTTTGTTGTGTACTGCTGAAAGTGGACACATTTTTTGAAGCTTTTCAACACTCTTAGTTTGAATAACAGGTGATGCTAACTGTCTCATACTGCTATGGTGCGATAGCAGCACCAGTGGTGTTCACCACTAACAGGCTGTTGCTGTCAAGCCAAAAAGATATTTTGTCTATCGCACCAATGAGTAATGTGGTATCTGCATTTCAGTGTCAGTCTGATGCTAGATATGTAGGCTATACATCACAGAGATTAGTGGATGTGATGCGAGAGTGACTGTGCTTGATATCAATGTCACACCTGATGAAGTATGGTAGCAAGGAGCCCCAGCAAAACTAGAGTTAATGGGAATCAGGGGAAAACCTCTCTATACTGTTCCGGTGTCGTACCTAGCATGAAGAAGACAGTTGTGGCTGTTGAAGATCAGTCAACCCCCAGCTCCAGGACATTTCTGCATACATCTGCTGGTTCAAAATCCTGAAATTCCCTCCCAAATGGCATTGTGGGTCAACCTACAGCAGGCAGTTCAAGAAGTCAGCTCACCAAAGCCTTCTCAAGGGCAACTAGGGATGGGCAAGAAATGCTGGCCAGCCTGTGACGCCCATGTTCCATGAGTGAATTTTAAAAAGCATTCCCAGTCTTAACTGTCTTTAGCTACTTCATCAATGATTTTTCCTCCATCATAAATTAAGAAGTGGAGATGTTTTCCCACGATTACACAATGTTTAGCACCACTCAGAACTCCTCAGATACTGAAGCAGCCCATGTCTGATTTCTGCAGGTTTTGGATAATAGCAAGTGGCAAGTAACGTTCACACCACACAAGTGCCATGCAATGATTTTTTAAAATATTCATTGACAGGATATGGGCATCACAGGCTAGGCCAGCATTTATTGCCCATCCCTAATTGCTCAGAAAGCAGTTAAGAGTCAATCACATTGCTGTCAGTCTGGAGTCACATGTAGGCCAGACCAGGTAAGGATGGCAGTTTCCTTTCCTAAAGGACCTTAGTGAACCAGATGGATTTTTCCAACAATCAACAATGGATCTCCAAAAAGAAAAATCTAACCATTGCCCCTTGCCATGACTATCACTGAATACCCAACTATCAACATCTGGGGAATACCATTGATCAGAAATTGAACTGACCATAAAACATTGTGGCTACAAGAACATGTCAGAGGGTAGGAATCTACCAATGAGTAACTCACCTGCTATTTCCCAGTGCTCATTCACTATCTACAAGGAACAAATCAAAACAGTGACAGAATAAACTCCATTTGCCTGGATGAGTGCAGCTCCAACAACAAGCAAGAAGGCTGACACTATTCAGGACAAAGCAGCTGCTTGTTGGCACTACATCCACAAACATTCACTCCATCTACCACTGAGATTCAGTAGCAGCGTTGTGTACCATCTACAAGATGTATTTCAGAAATTCATCAAGGCTCCTTAGACAGCACATTCCAAACCCATAACCACAACTGGGTCCAGTATGTGGAAAGAATGTGTTATTTGTTCCAGGCAAATGACACTGGGGCAGATGAAAAACAACGAGTAATTCTCTTGATAGCTTGTGGATCCACAGCTTTTTTGGTTATGAGGAGCCCAAATTTACCTGAGGCACCAGATAGTAATATCTTTCAAGAGTTGATGGATTTAGTTAAGGAATGTTACAACCCCAAGCGCCCTCTAGTTCTGAGAAACTATCATTTTTACTCGGCAATTCGTGAACCAGAGGAATCCATATTGGGATTTTTGACTGGGTTAAGATGACTGATAGAGGGATATGACTTTGGTTTAACCCTTAATGAGATGCAGAGAGACCATTTGGTATGTGGGATTAATAATGTAACCATGCAAAAGCGCCTAGTAGCTGAAGCCTAACTGGACATCAAACAGGCACTACAACTGGCTTTATCATTGGAAAACGTGACAAGTGGAGCATGTGAATTGAAGGGTATTCCGATGGAAGTAGACACCCTTACCAGTCTGATTGAGCTTGGGGAACACCACTTGAGTGAAGTCAATTGCAGAGCCTCACTCAAGACATATCCTGAATAGAGGGACTCTAGGTCAGCCCACAACAAAAGCCCAAAATAAAGCCAAGCTTTGGTCAAACAATTAAAATCTTGAGGATCTAGGCCAGCAAGCCATCGTAGTTGCTGCCGGTATGTGGACTCAAGACAGCAAAAGAATCCCACTAGACCGAAATTGAGTAAAAGAACTCAGGCCAGTATCCAGGAGAGTGCACACCCTGGAAAGTCCACCTACACCTGGTTTGGAACAGTTAAATTGCTTAGCAACATCCAAATCAGAACCAATGAAAGTAAATGTCTGTTAAATGGTTACCTGTTTCTAATGGAGGTCAATACCGGCGTGGCCATTTCAGTGATCAGAGAACCAATTCACTCTGAACTTCAAGCCTTAGGTTTGCACAAGACTTCGGCTACACTGAGAACCTATACCAGGGAAGCTTTACAGTTTAAGTGTACAACTTTGGTTCCGGTCTCTTATAAAAAGCAGCTGATTAAGTTACCACTGATTGTAGTAAAAGACTCAGGCCCAAAGTTGATGGCGCAAAATTGGTTGAGAAAGATTTACTCAGATTGGGTCAACATTTCTCAGTTGGTCATGTAGCCAAGTCATAGCTTTCAGGGAAATGAAGAAACAACTATCATCCGCTAAGGTGTTGGCACACTGTGATCCCAAGCGAGATCTGACATTGACTCAGTTACACGTCGACTATGCATATCCTTTCATGAGCTCAATGTTCTTAGTCATTGTGGATGCCCACTCAAAGTGGCTGAACTTGCAGAGAGTTCACTAGTCATACACGGGGAGGACAACAGAAACACTGCATCCATTTTTTACAATAAATGGACTCCTGTAATGTTGGTCACAGATAATGGGCCATCATTTTCCAGCAGGAATTTGAGTATTTCCTAAAATCAAATGGTATTTGACATACAAGGGCAGCTCCATGCCATCCATCATCCCACGGTTTTGCAGAAAGAGCAGTCCAAACTTTGAAGGCAGGCTTAATGAAAGAGACTACAGCTTCACTAGATACCAAACTGTCCTGGTTCCTATTTGATTACAGGACCACCCCTCATACAAGCTGACTTGATGATGGGGTACCAGCCTCTATGGAGTTATTTCAACAACCTCCTTCTCAAGTATTTAAGGATGAGGAATAAATGCTGGCACAGCTATCAAAGCCCACTTCCCTTGAATGAATAAAAAAGGCATATCCATTTGACTATTCACAACAGGCAAAGTCTGCCATACCCAGGTAGCCCATGCCTGTAAATGTCACAGCAGTGCCTCACATTCAATGTGATCCTGTAATTAGATATTTGCTTAATAATAATGAGAATGTGAAACATTACGCTGACAATTAATTTAAGATTGTCTGTTGGGCTGCTGTGTGGTAAACTGGGCATACTATAAGCTGTAAGTATTAAGATACAGAGCCCTGTTGTTTTGGCAGACAGAAAGAACATTTTGTACGCCTGTTTCAACTCAACAAAATACGTGACAGCTATTCTCTGGTTCTTTGCTCAGGGTGATGCCTTGACTAATCAGAGTCAACTTGTCTCATTGAAAGCTTAAACAAAGCTTGGCAGTTAAATATCAGTCATCAGTAACTCAAGCATTTTCCATTGCAATGCCTTTTGTTCATTTGTCAACCAATCAGCAATCTCCTTTCATTCAGTATAAATGTTGTTTTCACTTTACTTTGGCATTTCTTGTAAATTGTCCTGATGAGAGCAGATTGAAAATCTTTGATAAAATGTCTTTTCTTTCAGCAGTACTCATGTCCTATACTAGCAAATGTTCCATATTGTAGCATTTTATTAGCTGATGAGTATTGCTGAGAAAAAGACATGCTTTTGCAGCTTTACATCTTTGCTTATCAGGACAGACTCAGGAATGGCAAATTTCAAAGGGAGTAGCACTTATACTGTATAACTAAAAGGTGCAAATTGGTTGACAGGTCAACTCTAGTTGAAGCAAAGCTATTGGGAATGCATCACTCTAGGGAATTATTGCTTGCCACATTTTTGTTTTATTCAAAAACTAGCATTATGCCTCAAAATCTTTATTTCTCTGCTGAGGGTGGGTCTTTTCAAGTTAGTGCACATGACATCTACTAATTGAGTCAGATGCATACTCAACTGGTGACCTTAATTTAGTTGTTTCTGTCATTCTTAACACACTCAAGGTTGTTCAGTAATTGCTGTTCAATCATTGGCTCACAACTAACAAATGACTTTAAGTTCTGATTTTTGCAAGAATAAGCTTGTTGACTACAGTCATTAATCTGCATTTTGTGAATAGCTGAAGGAATGTGATATTTGATAATAAGTTGCCAGTAATTGGGATATTTGGCCAATGTACCTGATAGTGTACTGACACAGAAACTCATCTACCACATTAATCATTGTGTGATAGACAAAATGTCTCTTTGGCTTGATGGCACATCCTGTTAGCATTAACTGCTGTGTTTCTGCAGAGTAGCAGTGTGGAATTGTTAACTTTACCTGTTGCCCAAATGTTTTGAGATACATCCTCTTCCATGGTAACTTGAGATAGACTTTTCAGGTTGAGAAGTGGTATCTGTAGGCCAATTTGTACGCACTCAGAGTATACAGGGAGTAGCAATCTGATCAGTGGTAAGCAAGAGGGCATCACGGTGACACAGTGGTTAGCACTGCTGCTTCACAACACCAGGGACCTGGGTTTGATTCCATCCTTGGGTGACTGACTGTGTGGAGTTTGCACATTCTCCCTGTTTCTGTGTGGGTTTCCGCCCACAGTCCAAAGATGTGCAGGTTAGGTGCTAACTTGACCCATTGTGTCATGGGATGTGCAGACTAGCCATGATAAATGTGAGGTTACGGGGATCGGGAGGGAGGGCGGGTCTGATTTAGGAAG